AAGTCGCCTACAATCGGTAAGCGGTTTTTTAATTCATGTCAGGCATATGCTCCGAGGCTAGCGGTCCAGAAAAAGTGATCCCAAATATGGAAAAATTAATTTTATTTCTTTTTCTTTCGTGGTCCGAGCGGAATTCGGGGAGCCAATGTAAAATATACGATATATTTTTGACCGATTTATGGACTTAAATTTTAACACCAAAGTTACAAAGCAACTATGTTAAACAGATTTTGGATGAAACTCTCCAAACCATTCGGTACCAAGGGGTTGTTTCAAGCAAGGTGACCTTAACATTTGTAGCCTACAATCAAGGTTGTATGAGTTCATACGGAGTGCAGAACGAAAGGGAAAAGGTAAAATCCTCTACTGAATACCGATGATACGGACTTCATCGGCGACAAGATTGGCTTCTTTAGTACTGCCTTATCGATTAGTTGGAATTAAGTGACTTCGAAAGAAAGGTTTTGTTTATTGATTACTCGAACTTCCCCTAAGGACCTGTAAGTGGGCGGCTGTACCTAAGCCATTGAGTAGGCGCTCAAATTCGCGAAGCAATCATTTTAATGATTTACGGGTTTGCAATTGAAGTCAAGGTTGGAGCTTCATAATAAACAAGGAATTTAATGAAAAAAGCCATTTCAAATGCATTTCTTGTAAGTCTATTTTTGAAACCGCATAACGGATAAAGCGGAACAAATTATTGAATTTAATTTTTAAATTTCTCAGTTATTAAATTGAGTTTTTCGCACAGAAAATCGTTGCCGCACTACATCGTTTATGTTTTTATTACTTGATAATTAGAACAAATGAATTTTCTGTTGCATAAAAATTTTTTTTTTGTTCGATTTTGTGTAGAAAATAAAAAGTTTTGCCAAGTATCAGTACTGTTGTTGTTAGCTTTAATTAATGTGTTTCTAATTACAAGTTTTATTCACGCGTAATTTGATAGAGAATTTATAACCAAATAACTGCTCATTAAATTCAAAATTTATTTAATTTTATTTTTTTCATTTATTAAACGAAATAAAATTATTTCATATTAATTTCATATTTTTTTCATGATCCAATTTTTTTTTCAATAAATTTCGCTAGTTTACTGTTAAAAAGAGAAATAAATTGTGATTTACTTCATCAACAATATATTGAAATTGTTTTGATAAATAGTACTACTCCCATATACAATACATACGAGGTGTGACAATATATTGCTGCGATTATGGTAACCCTGCGACCTTGAAATTCCCTTTCCCTACTCACGGCATCCTTCTTCTCTCTATAAATATATTTGCCATCGCTCTAGCTTGCTTAGTTCGCCTGCTGTGTCGTGTTGAGTAAATCTGTGTTCGTGGTGCTCGTCAGGAAGATGGAAAAACGAAGCAAAGAGCAACGTGTCGCGATAAAATTTTGCGCCAAATTGGGAAAAACAGCTTCGGCAACCCACGCCAAGGCTCAAAAGTTCGCATGAGCAAGCCGAAGGTGAAAACGATAATTATTGCGTTTTTTGATAGCCGTGGAATCGTCCACAACGAATTTCTTCCCCCAGGGCAAACCGTAAATCAAGTCTACAATCGCCAAGTTCCCAAGAATTTGCGAGAACTTGTCAAAAGGAAGCGCCCAGATGTCCCTCGTAACTCGAACCTTCATCACAACAACGCGCCGTGTCACATCGTCCTCAGCGTGTCCCAGTATTTGGCCTCTAGAGAGAACCCCATGTTGCAACAACCGAATTATTCGCCCGATATGTCACATTTGCAACGAGCTCTTGTCTCTTTACTTGACCTCGCAAACATAAAATTCATACAATAACCCTCTCACTTTTTTGAGACAGAATACTTAGAGCATTAGAACTGTAAAAGGCTTCTCCGGTAAATAGTTTCTTCGAAAATTGATCAAAAACTTTGCTCACTTTTAAGTTGAACGAAAGTCTGTTTCAAATTTAGTTAATCTAATATACCGTTGGAGCGATTTTCGGTAGTGCTCTTCCTTAATTTTGTGGATTCTGTGATTTTTTCTATAAAAAAAGTAGGGAGCTTCGTTATGGATCACACTGTAAGTGCTCAATTCCTCTCCCTATGCAGACTAGAGCTAGACGTGCTCAACTTAGACAGCGAGTCTCACATGACGAGGCTGTGGTTAGTCTTCTTGCATGCTCACAAAAACCCACTCAGCTGACACCCCTCTTCCAGCAAGCCTAAGTGTGCAGGTCACAAATCGGTGGTCACAAGAACTCAACTCTTAAGGGTGTTAGTGTTAGTGAGTTGAAGATCGCTAATCAATATCGTTACGAAAACTTTTGTTATTTTAAAATTTTGAAAAATTGATTATTTGATTATTTTTTTTTTTAACTAAAATTTTAACCTTAATAAAATTTAAATTTAAAATAATTAAAAATCATAGAAACAATAATAATATAAATTTGCTCGCCAGTGTTGTCAAACGTTCTTGTAATTTTATGTTTTAGTATTGTGTTATATTTTCTCGTTTCTCATACATATATATATATATATATATATATATACATATAACTACATACATATATTGTAATTAGCGTCGAATTTAAAGCTGCCGATTATTTATAGTTATTGTTGTCTACAATTTTGTATATATGTACCAGTTATATAATAAGATATGTACTAATTTTTACTAAAACCCATTTAATTATTATTACATATATATATCTATACATTAATATCTATATGTTTGCTGTGTACTTATGTATGTATGTATGTATGTATACAAGTATGCTGGGAATTAGCTTACATATTTATATAGACTATGCACAATATATTATATTTAATATTTATTTATATACGCTTATATACAAAAATAAAAGGGAAAGGTGTACAACGGATATACAAACATGCATATACATATATGTACACGTATGTACATAGAAGGGTAAATATTTCATTCATTTACATACAATAAAATGCAGTTGAAGAGATTTCTAACCATCTCAACATTAAGTCTACTTGCATACATGCATATTTATATACATAATATATATTTATATATATATATATAAACATATATACAACTGCGATCAAAATAAAAGCAGTGCTAAGTACAAAATCATAAAAGTGCAAATATTTGGAAGAACAAAAAAGCAACAAACAATTATTTTCATAAATTTAGGAAATACCGTTATTTTTAGAATGTTCAAAATACTTATTAGCAATTTTTACTGCAAAACTTACGGCAATTTTGTAAATTATCTATACAATAAACAAGCTTTACTACAGCAGTATTCTGATCTTCCGGTGAATTTCTAGTTCCACTAACTGATGCCCAGAGTATAGTGAATTTATGGTGGGAACATTTCTCCAGCCTGCAGAAGGGGCCAGCGAACACGATTCCCCAATCGTTGTCGTTGAAACCAATGTTTAATTGTTCAACTATGAAGAAATTCGTATAACCATGGGCCTGTGAAACAACAAAGCAGCGGTGGCTCATGGATTTCCGGCCGAGCCTAAATATAGGGGGTGAAGAACTGGCAAGTTTCATGCATCAGCTTCAGCTGCAAAATAAGGTCGGAGTAAAGCAAACCCGACGATTGTAGCTTAAGTCTGCTCTGCCCAATACATAAAAAGGACGTTCTTACAGTCTTCGTCTCCTCTAAATCGCATATGAGGACTTATAGCGCATTGTATGAAAGACCGTCAAAAACTGATTGGACCCTCTCAGTGCGGCTTTAGAACTGGTAAATCAGCCATTGACCAGATATATACCATGCGCCCAGTCTTGGAAAAAACCCGTGAAAAGAGAATCGATACACACCACCTCTTCGTTGATTTCAAAACAGACTTCTGCAGCGCAAAAAGGAGCTGCATCTGCGCCGGTAGTTCTAAATTCGTTATCCTCGCAAAACTTACACGGCTTTGTAAACTAACGTTAAGCAGCACTAAAAGCTCAGTCAGTATCAGCTAGGACCTCTTCGAGCCGTTCAATATCAAACAAAGTTTCAGATAGGGTGGCACTTTATCGTGTGATTTGTTACGGGAGAAAATAATACGAGGCTAAGAAACGAACAGAGAAGCTACAATCTTCTATAAGAGACATTATTGGCCTCAACAGCCAGCAGCGTCTTGAGTTTTGCTTCCCCCAGACCTGGCCCAGTCGGCTTGTCAATAATAACACTGGGGTTTTCCGAGCTCCAGATGCAACAGTTTTGCTTATTGGCATAACCATCGAAGTGGAAACGGGCCTCATTAGTCAAGATGATTTTTCGATGAAATTTCAAATCATTTTCATGCGTTTCAAGTACACAATCTGCAAAGACATGACATTGTTGATGTTCGGCTGATTGGACTTATTGTGTTAGCTCAACTTTATAAGCCTTAAGACCCAAGTCTTTGGGCAAAATGCGGTGTAATGACGTTTGTGGAATGCCAAATTCCAATGAACGACGAGGTATGGACAAATCTGGGGTTTCATTCAGCAGTTTGGGCTGCAGCAGAAATATACTCACGGCACGTGTTTTTTTCTTCACATCACTAGTTTGTCCCAAAAGCTTCACTTTTTCCACCAATTTCTGTTTTGCGTTCTGACAATGTACTACACGAGGTTAGTTTTACAGCCCGTCTTTGCCAGGTTTTCGACATTGCGTTGATGAAACGTGAATTGTCCCATTTTAATTACTGGCGTAGGTTTTACTTGTAAAAAGTTCAAAAATTTCAGCTTCAAAAGTGACATCTGCCGGAATATCTAGTGAAAATAACATTTCTCAATGGAAACCACTGTACAACAACTTTATTGTAATAAGGTTTTTGAGTTTCCTTGATCTAAATGCTATGTAAACTGGTATCTCATAAGCAACTGCGACAGTTTTGACTGCTCAATATTCAGCTATTTTTGTTATAATAATATTTTAACATTGATTTCAGTCTAAAAGTTGTATTCTGCAATAAAACAAGTTAATTTTTAAATCAAATAATCGCAAAAAACTTGTTGGAAAATCATTTCTATTTTCAACTGGTAATTTTTAGTACTTTGCACTGCTATTATTTTTCCCTTAGTTGTATATATTTACACGTTTATGTATGTATATACTATATTTACTATTATTTTAAAATTAGAGCTACATTTACATAGTCGTATACACGCTTACATATGTACATACATGTAACAGAATTTTTCGTACACGTACAATATTTTAGCTTATTTTCAATTAAAAACTATTCACGATTTATTCGCTAAGTAAATTAGTGATATTGACTTCTTTGCTCTTTGCCTCTTCTTCTCCTCTTCTTTTTTCTATTTTTTCATATTTACTTTTTTTTTTCTTGTCCATTAACATTTCAAGTTCAATTCACTTTCATCTGTTTGCCTTCGCTCCACATGCGCTTCCTCCCCCTCAATTCGTATTATGTCAATTTCAATTTGAATCATTAAATCATTGTCCTTGAACAGCAGCTGGTACGTCGTTATATCGTCCTAAGTGCTTCTACAACAAAAATGTCCACTAAATTCGCGTCCAGCTGTTACGTCTGTGATGTCTATATGGTATACTTTTAGGCGCATCAACTTCTTCCGCTGTCACCTCGTTGCCGTTGCCGTCGCCGTCACCAATGTCTGTTTGTTGTTTGAGTCTTACAAATACCAATTCGAATTGCTTCCGTAGCTTGTTGCGTAGTCGTCGGAATTGCATTAGCTATCACGTGCCCGTCGAGAGGTCGTCTTTCAGCCATTGTGGTATGGGTCGGGAGCCCAGTTTTTTAAGCAATTTCACCAGCGCTGTATTGTGGCTTAGGTAGTAACTGCGGGAGAAGAGAAGTTGATTTTAATTTAAAAAAATTTTAATTTAATAAATATATGCGAGTATATAATATTAATAAAAAAGTTAATACGAATATAAATATACCTATATATATTCAATATATATATATATATATATGAACAAAAGAGTCTGCTTGTTTGTTATAAAAATTCTGAACTCTTTGGCTTTGTATTGCCCTCAAATTCCAAAAAAACCATCATTGAGAAAACTTTTTTTTTTTGTTGAAGACGTGATCACAAAATTGCTTAATTTCTATAAAAAAAATACTTCGAAGACCTGAAACTGTGCTTCCGAAAGTACTAGTGGTTAGGTTATGTTATAGTGGCTACCAAACTATCGAGTCGAATTCATTTAGGCCTCACTCAGATCCGTTTTGTTGCCATCAGGTTTTATCAGCCATCCATTTGACTCTCTAATGAACCTCATTGGATCTATAGCTTCAAAACCGGCTATCTTTGATCCCGACAGAGCAGTAGGATTCCGAAATTCCGAAACCTCTCCCTGCTCAAAGCATGACTGTCTCATGAAAAATGGGTGATCATTCCCTCCTCTTCATTCTCCTTGCATTTCCTTGTGTCGTCTTATATATATATATATGTATAGATATATATAAAACATATAATAATTTTTATTAAATTCATTTTGCTTCAACTGAATAACGAACTTAAGCTGCCGCCGACTATGTTCTGACAGTTACAAAATTCATATGTTAAATACTATTAATCATCAGTTAATTAAAAGTTGCACTCAAACGCAACCGTTGTTTTTTTGCGGCCCTTGTTATGTACTATACGAGTATGTACGATAGCTCTGCGAATATCCATATGTCACGTTATGTGAGTGTTCGCCGAATTTTCATACAAAAGCGGACTTTATTGAAAGCCACGAACTTAATCCAATTTTAATTAAGTGCACATTATTAGGAAGCTCGCCTATAGATTTGGCGTATGCAAAGAATGCAGCGGCAAAATTTAAACGCTACAACAACTACAGTAACTTACATATATTCCCAGCTACGAGGTTAACCTGCAACTTTATCAAGAATGCGATTCATGCCTCCTTTAGGTGAAATCACACCAGGCAAAGGAAGAAGGTGAGGTTAGATTGCGCTGCTAGGTCACATCGAGTCTCACTTACACGTTACCACGTCAATAGTGTTACCAGATGGACTAGATACGACCAAGCTGTGCTGCTACATTCTTTATTGTATCTCTAGTTTGAAGAACTTCGCCACTTAAAGTAGTTGTTTTGGGGCTTACGTCCACTGCTATCAGAAGGCTCTGCAGCTTCTCTGCTGCCAAAAAGCATAACATTTGTCTCAAAAGAGGAAAATCAATCGTTTTAGAAAACATTTCGGAAAAAAAGCTGTTCAAGTTACAAAGAATTGATCGCCTCGTGTGCAAAGACTTTGACACAAGAGAAGATAAATTGAGGGATTCAAGGCACACGGGCTATGTAAAAAGGTTAAAATTATCAGCTGAGATCTGATTTAAAAAGTCTAAACAGCTCATTTCATACTTGTCAGACTATACAATAGGGGACAATAGCAATATTTACGCGTATTGTATGGCATGTGGCACCATCTTGATCAAACCAGATATTGTCCAAGTGCTTTTCTTCAATTGTAGGCCATAAAAAGTTGGTTATCACACGACTATAAAGCTCCGAAATGACAGTGACAGGTGTCGCTTCATTATTAGTCTACCTTCCAAATCTTAGAACGATACGCTAAAATGGAGACGAGAAAACGCAAGATGGCGGAGAATAGATCAGACGAAGTTCGTGTTTCGGCGTAAATTACAGTCAATAAAAGTATTCAGTGAATGCCAATTCGCATATGATACGATTGCAACGTCTTTAAAGACTATTTTTAAGTGGTTCCGAAGATTCCGGACCGAACATTATTCCGCAGAGGATGAGCCCCGAGAAGGTCGACCAAAATCTTTTACTGCTGACGTCACTGTAGCTGTGCTGAAGTCCACAATTGACGAAGACCCACGATTGACACAACAAATGGTCGGTAATGATTTGGGCTTGAATTTCATGGCTGTATCGCGAATATTAAAGAATCATCGGCGATACACGAAGAAATCTGTTCGATGGTACTAGGAATTTGAGGCTCAAAGAGAGGGTCGAGTGCATTTTGCTGAATTTTTCGTAAACAAAATCGAAAATGGTCGGTCTAGTAACTTTAGTAAAGTCTTTACTGGTGACGAATCTTATTTCTCTGTGTACGATCTAGAAACTTCCTTTTACATCATGACAACGCGCCATCCCATTGCTGCCATTTTTAGTTGAAGTATTCAATTCAGGAATATACCTTTTATCAAATCATGTTCATAATAGACGAGGTTTAAAGAAATCATCCCAATGCATACTTGAATTATCTTAAGAACGAACAGATGGACAGTCAAATGTGGCTAAACCGATACATCTCGGCATTTGCTAAAGTTTAATATATATATGTACATGTATATATATATATATGAAAATCTCTATCTTCTCCCCTACATCAGGCTGCTGGCGCAATCAACTGCCGCTTTAGTTTGGAAGATTTCGCTCCCCAGTTGTTTGCGGTGTAATCAGTACCACAAATAAGTCCGAGCCGAACGTTTTGTGTGAAAGACTACGGACCGATCGGACCTTATCGATGTGGCTGCAGATCCACATTTATCCAGATATTCTCCTTGTGCCCAGTCATAGCAAGGAACACTGAGTAAAAAAAAAACAATACACATCACCCCTTCGCCTTCGATGGCACGCAAGAGTTTCCTCTATGCCCATATGACAGTGTAAACCGACACGGAGCTTGGTTGAGGTCGGATCTCCACGAGTCGTTCGATACTAAATGAGGTTAAATTGTAGATAAGCTCATTCTTTCTCTTGGCGGCGACAAGACGATATATGCTCTATCATCAATTAAGCAGCCCAGGAGCAGGAACCAATATCAATACCATTTCAGCCTTGAACTCCAACTAGCGCTACTATGTATTGTTGAATCCATAAAGAAAGCATCTGTAATTAAACTTCAAACTTCAGCCCTCGTAAGCCATATAACTACATAATAATATATATGTACGAGTATACACATAAGCTCACTCAATATGTAATGATTTTATGAGTATGCCACAGAGAACAACCACCACTGAGTATGAGCAGCACTACACCGAAACGTAAACTGGACCAGAAAGTGCCAAATTGAGCGGGAGTACTTTCAGTAGTGAATGGGCGTAGAGTGGCGCTGAGACTGCCATTGCACCGTGTGGCGCACTGGCTGCGACCCGATAAGCAGCTGAAGTAACAAAGGAAAGTAGCGCTGATAGCCGCAAAGAGCAGCTAGAGGAAGTAGGTGACGAAATATTTTAAAATTCCAAAAAAAAAAAGAAACAGAAGAAGAAAACATTCCACACATGTCAACCAGGCGTCACCTGCGCTACATACATACGTACATGCCTGCATGTGTGCGGCTGTATGTTTGAGTGTAGGAAGTGCCGGTCGAAGTGCCAAAGCTGCCGAAATAAATATAACAAAAAAAAAGAGAAAACACGAAAAAAGCAACTCTGAAAACAATGAAATGCACTTTACCCACCAAACCGCCGGCGCCGACGCTGAGGCAGCGCCGCAGCAATGCTGCTTGTTGGCCACAATGGCATTTGGCTGGCAAGCGATCAAGCAAATAATATTGAAAGGAAATCAAAAATAAAACACTAAAACCATTTAGTTTTATCGAAGCATACACTCAGGCGCACAGCGGCAATATATGCAAATGCTCCACAATCTCCACAAACTCAATAGAATTTCGTCATTCTCCACAAACCAGATGGAACTGTTTGTATGTGCACGAGTGTGGGCATGTGTTGGCTCACTGTCTGGCGGTGCGTAGGAACAGCAACAGCAGCAGCAACAACAACAACAACAGTGATCATAATTTTGCACTTCACTTCACCATTCAGCAATTCGAAGGCATTCCCACATTTCCCACATTTCCAACATGACAGCCAATTGTGGAGTTGCATATGTATGTAGATATGTGCATATGTCTATTCATACATTTGTATACTCGTATATGTACCCACCAGCATAAGTTAGACTGTTTGCCGTAGTGCTTATAAAATGGAGTAAATACCAAGTGCTCCTTTGTATTGCGGTAGTGGACCACTTCACTTAGTCGCGTGGCAGTTATAGTTGGTGTGCTCCTCCTCTGCACAGTAGTGTCCGCTTTGATGGTTTTCCAACAAATAGAAGAACCTACAGTTTATACTAAACCGCCTCCGAACGGCCGATGAATTGTTATGACGAGCTCCTATTTGATGCCAGAAATACAGTCCAAGACGTTGCTATGCCCAGCTAAGGGGCTTATGTAGAACTTAGAAGAAGGTTTATTGAATTTTGAAATTTCGGAGCACTATTTGGGTCGAGTGGAGTACATTACGCAAGGACGGAATATCACAAAGTTTTGCAGGATACATACACATACATATACGCAATCACATCTCCAATAGCACACAATACGGTGTTGTATGTAAGTATATATGTAGAAGAGAAATACTCACCGCTGGAGCAGCTTAGCGCTGCGTTCGTCCATCGATGGATATTGACGGCCCTTCGATTTGCCCAAACACTTATTGCGCTTCTCGCTCACCACTTGACAGAAAAAGCCCTTCTTCGCATCGAAACGCAAATGATTCGAATAATCGAATATCGGTTGTATTTTGAGGAAACGCTGCAAGTCGTTCATCACATCGACTGGATTGAGACGCAACTGTTCACCATCGATGATATGCAATTGTTGGGCGGGATAGTAGGCTAGCCAATGCTCCAGGTGTTGTGCATATTTACCTGGATTCAGGCAGCGATTACGTAAATCCTTTAGTGCTTTTGGCGCTGAATCGCCGGCTGTGATTACCTGTAATGAGAGCAATGGGCGAGTTATACATTAATGCATGGACATACACGTATGTACGTATGTGGGGTGGTAAAAACTTTTGCTTTAAAATGCAGAGCTCATAATGGAAAGGGTAGAATATATGAGTTTAATATTTTTTTATTGTTAAAAATTAAAATTCAATTAAATGTCTTTGTGCTGTAATATTTTAAGCTCTGCCGATAAACGATTGTATATACGAGGGGATTAACAAAAGTTCGGTAAGTTGACCAGAAAAAAACTCTTTTCGTATTTATTTTTAATCCTTGCCTTTTTTTATCTTCTCTACTTAATCGCCCTTGATATCAAAGCATTTCTTAAGTCTATAGATCCACTTCTGAAAGCAGTCTTCAAAATTTTGCATTTTAAGCGTTTCAAGCTTAGCAATGACTGCATTAGTTATTGTGGACGACACCACAGCTACAGTTCTCATCGGGGCTCATCCTCTGCGGAATAATGTTCGGTCCGGAATCTTCGGAACCTCGTGAAAAAAGTCTTTAAAGACATTGCAATCGTTCCATATGCAAATTGAAATTCACTGAATACTTTTATTCAATGTAATTTACGCCGAAACTCGAATTTCGTCTAACCTATCCTCAGCTATCTTGCTTTTTCGCGTCTCCATCTTAGCCGATCGTTCTAAAATTTGAAAAAAAGACCAACAAGGTAATGACAAAGGATTTTATTTTATTTTTTAGATTTAACAAAAACAAATTGAAAGTTAACAACTAACCGAGTTTTTGTTAATCCCCTCGTATGTATGATGCTGATAATGTAACATGTAAAACTCTAAATAGTACCTGCAATCAAGCCAAAATTGACCAAATGCCACAAACACTGACCGAAACCACTAATTGACATTAATTAAAATCAAAAATTCAAACATGGAAGTACATGTGATGTTTCAATTTATATATACACTTGCATACATAAATATCTACACGTATCTGTAGCCAAGTGTCGAACATTAAATGTTAGCATATTTTCAGGCGTATTATTAAACTAAATCTCTAAGTAGTGCAAAGTATTAGCTTACAATCACTTAACCGTGTTTTCAATTAAACATACACATCTAAACATACGTTGCATGTACGTATGTACGTACTATCTGAAGTGATATGTACAAACCATACGTGTATGCACAAAATATTCGTTTATATGTTGATTACCACAATTGCAATTAAATCGAAAAGCAATATTTGCTGCATTTCGCTTATCTCACAATCAGATCTCTGCTACTCTCTACCGTTTGTGGTTATGTGGCAGTGATTAGTTGAGGGGCATATTTCACTTCTAGCTACTTATGTAAGGATGCTAAATAATCAAGTAAATTTGATAACGAGTTTATTTAAAATAAAATAAATGCAAACGTTAAATATCTGAAAATGAAGCTACGTTTCCATTGAGATAATTTATTACGCTCACAAAAAAAAAATGTTGCATATATATGTATATAATAATATAACGTATCAAAAGACTTTAAACAAAATTGGAATTAAATCGAATATTGCCATTTGCCACTGGACTTGGTGGTACATCAGTTGGCAACCATAGCCACACACCATTTAAGAGAATCAAATTAATTGATCACTCAGCTCGGGAAGATAGATAAATATAATTAGACTTTTTTATTGCTGTAGCGATTTTCGGCAGAGCTCTTTCTCATATTTGTTATGGGCGTCTTGGCGGTCACTAACCTGCAGTTTATTTCAAGCCGCCTCCGAAGAGCCGATTAATGGATGAATTTTGAAGCTTTGATTTCATGTTCAAAATACACTCGTGGGACTATAAAAATTTAATTTTCTTTAACATTAGATGTTGTTCTAACCCTGTCCTTCAGTATGACAATACGCAATGCTAACTACTCGGCTACGGCGGCCACACTTCGGGTGATAGTATGGGGATATACCCATATATGGAACTCACTTTCAGGTCACATGTCAGGCGCAGCTTCATAAAAGCACTGGGCTCGATTACTTTAAATTCCAAAACTGTGCTTGTCTGTCGCCGTTCTCTACAGAAGTTGGCCAAACAGTACAGATTGTCTCTCTCGTGGGTATCTGGTCATCGAGGAAACCATAAGGAGGATGAGCTGGCAAGGTAGCAAGGTACGTTCAAGCAGATTGTTCTTGCAGGGTACTTCTCAAGGATTTTACATATAAACAAGTGGATCGTATCTATCGCAAGACCAGGCAAATGTGCCCAAAATGGAATAAGCAGAGATCACGAGATATGTAATTTGCCACTGTGTGATAGGACCGCATACAGAGAGACTAGAGGCTTCTTTTTTTACACATTAAAGAAATTTATTATTTGAAGCAGCTTAATTTAAGCCTAACAAAAGTTTTAGAATCTTAATGACTAATGAATTTCTGCTTTAGCCCATTAAGAGGCTTTCTAAAGGACATTATGTAAAAGCTGCAATGATGAAGATGACGAGGAAACGGTCAGTGCTATGTATGGGACAATTGATTTTCACTGCCTTGAAAGCCAATGTTTCATCAGCCAAATAATCCCCTATCGACAGCAACAGATGATAATCACTTGCTGCGTGGTCCGGACTATATGGACGATGCATAAGAACCCTAAAACTGCCCCAGCGTTTTTCTCAAATCACATTTTTCCAACTGGAAGGACAATTTTTTAGACCTTATAGCATTGATTTACCTCAAACTTTGATGGTAGCTTCACAAATATATTTTTTTTGGAAGTACGTAGCCGTTTTACGATTATATATAAACTTTTTTTTATAATTTAATGCCAATTTTTTTAGACAAAAATTAATCTTTTTGAAAAAAGTGTATTGCTTACACAAAAATTTATTAAAAAAAAATAAAGCCGTACGTGCTTCCAAAGACCGTAGTTTTTAGATAATACAACTTTTTGCCTTTCAGTTCTAGATCTCATCCTGTAGAAGAAATAGGTTAGTCCGTGGACGCCTTTCAAAGAAATTTATATTAAATAATGGACTTTTCCGCCGTCGTTTTGTAACAAAATTATAAATGAAGAATATTTTTTTTACTTTAATATATATTCAATGAAATGGTTAAATAGAAATTATATTCCTTTTCCCATTATCCCATGATAAATTAAAAAAAAAAGAGTTTATTTTTCAAACTCTAGAGTAGCTTTACTCCTTTAGGGGTTACATAGGTCTTGAAACTTCAAAAAATTCATTTTTTTCATAACTTTTGTATGAAAGTACATAGTGTCAGGAATATTTTCCCCAAGTTTCAAGTCGATCGAGACGAAACTGTAGAAATTAGAGAGTTATAACCCGCCGTCTTTGTCATGGCTTGACCGATGGCGACAGGCAAGACGGCGTTTTTCTTAAAACCACTTTATCGTAATCGGTAGTAAAAGTTCCTCAATGACTATTGAAGCGTTCGAGTTCAAATTTTCCACATTTCTTTTAAGCACGTTCTTGAAGTCCCTGAACGTGGGGTTTATTTTATCTTTAATTTCCACACATTTTCCAATCCAATATGTGGCCTAATTTTATGCAAAAAAAAGACGTTTTTTGTAAAAAAAAAATCTATTTTTAATTTTTTAATTTTTCTTCGTTCAGATACAAGGAAAATTCATCTACTTTAAGAAAACAATTGGACTTTTAATTTTAGATAAAAATTGAAAAAGTTATCATGACTACCGCGAAAGCACTTTTTTGTGGACGGTCTACTTCACGATACTGCCAACGCCTTAACTTATACTTTCTTTCATTCAAGTTTTCATCAAATGTTGTTCACATATTGTACTTTTATAAGTAAACAAAAAAAATTTATACTTTATTTATTTTCTTTTAAAAAAATTAGAGAAAATAAGCTTTTTTTTTGGCCTTCAAGACCTATGTAAACCCTTAAGTCTAAAACTCTATACTCATGAACGTTATAGAAACCTCGACATGGCAAAGATAATTTTATTCTTTTTATTTTAATTTATTAGTCAAATACTTTTCTAATAAATTTTATCAATCTTTTTTATTACTCCATTGCTTTCCTTTGAATTTATTAACTTTAAAAAGAGAATTTTTTTTATTTTGATTTTAAAACTAAATTTAAGTAGTTTATTAAAAATATTGATTTGTGTTGTCAGTGATATGAAATAGATGCTTTTTCTATCAATTATCATAAACCGGCACAATGTTATTGAATAAAAATAGAAATAATTTAAAAAAGTTAAATTGAGCCCGAAAAAATCGAATGCCAAAGCTGATTTTAAAACCTATACAGAGCTAATTTGACGAGAGTTTATTTACTAGTATCTCTGTAGATGTGTTTGTAGCTATCATACGCCGTAAAATTTTCATAAAATTCTATCGTATAATTTTTGAAATCATTATTAATTACAGTATTTCTTTTACTCAAAGCAGCTTATACTGTTTTTGCAACTTTTTTATTTAAAAATCAAATAAAATGATAGTATAAAGGGTCATGCAAAATCTTTACATATATTACATGCATACATACATACAATATGCATAAACAAAATTTAAGCACACAGCATATGTATGCCGATATGTATGTTAGTGGGAAATAAGTGCATAAAAGCCAAAATACTCAGCTATTGTAAAGAATTTGTAAGCGGATCAGTGTTGAGTGGACCAATGCAGCTGAAAGTATGCAATGATTATTCATCCATTGAATTTGCATTTCCAATTTCTCAGTACACCAGACCCAGTGCATATGTATATACGAGTACATGTAAGCATATTGTAATGTGTGGCCACAAATTGAGTTGATTAGGATTATTTTATTGCCACAAATGCGCAAAACCTAACATACTGACAAACTGAGACGTTAAGGTGTGTGAGAGAAGGAGAGAAAGAGTGTGTTAAGAGCATTTATCGTTTATAATACGAGTAGAAGCGGTAGCAGAAGCAGTGGCAGTTGCAGTGAAGGTTAGAGATGATGATGGTGATGATAGGAAATGCAAACGGTATTGCGGTTGAAAATTGAAAAACTTTCACACAATAAGCCCGAAAA